TAATAAATAAATAAATTGATTATTTAAATCATAACAACAACAATAATACAGAATTATGCCGAAGTGGAAAACGTTACCTGTAAGGATCTGGAATCTTCATCTTGTTGTAACAGACGAGACATGCGATGAAATCGTCCTTGACCGTGGTCTCGATGTGGGTCCGCAGGCATAGCTTGCACAGGCGGGAACAACACAACACTTTGGGGTCGTTGAACGGTCCGTGGCAGTAGCTGCACTCCATCCTACTACACACAAAGAAAATACATATTTTAAAAAATGTATTGACGTTAACGAAAAGTAATTACCATCACATTGGCTAGTGGGGAACTTTTCTTTTTTTCATTCATCTCTTAACCCTATCCGTACGTCGTGTTTTACTATCGTATCCATACGACGTGGGGAAGTCTGTGCCACCACTTTACAAAGAGGAAATTTACTCGTTAATCCGATCCGTACGTTTTGCTTAGCAGTCTGTCAAAATGATTTTTTTAGGAGAAATGCTGAAAGTTTCAAAGAGATCTTCGTCCAAGAAGTATTCTAAAATGTGAAGAATACAACCGCAGGGGTACAAAATGACCTCAGGGCGTCACTCTCTGTAGTGCGGAGGCTGCAGTTTGCCGCACACCCACCCGGCTCCGGTAGAGCTTTGGGTCTCTCTGCCCAGGGTTTGTCCAATATTTCCTTCTAACTGAAATGGGGACTTGAGATATATGGTCGCTTTTAAGAACAAATGGGCTATCCCGAAAAATATTGTTTTGAGAAAACCGAGGGTAAAGTTCAGTTTCTTTAAAAGACAAAGAGAGTTTTCTCTATAACAAAACACATATACGCACCAATGAAACCAAACTTCTCCTATAGGTAGGACAATGCCCACTTTTGATGTTGGTCAAGATTTCTAGAAACCTCCGAAATCTGGGTTAGCCCGCTTGTCCTTAAAAATGACCATATAAATATATTATGTTCTTTTTCTACTTATCTATTGAATAACTTTTACTTTTTTGTCCCCCTTTTCCGCAAGGTGTCGATTGTTTGACGTGGGTCAGGTGCATTGCTTCTCGGATCGTCATATTATTGTGACTTTGAAGGGTCTCTTTGTCTCCTTCGATCCACTTTTTCTACTTATCAAACGTTCAAAAAAGAAATCATCTTGATTTTTTTTAATGGGCGATGGAGGGGGTGCGAGTTTTTAGCTAGTTTTCACATTTTTTCTACGTTTCTTTCTTTTCACGTAGTTGTTTTACGCCCCTTTGACACAATTTAGATAATTTAGGAGAGAGCCTTCCGACCTTGCCTGGCTGGGCTGAGAGGAATACAATGTCCCAGCAGTCAGTCCGAGGTACTGGACAAAAATATTTCTTGCCACTCTAGAATCGAACTCAGGTCTCCTTCATGCGACAGCAAAACGCCAAAAGAACAAACCACATACGCCTGTATTTTCTGGTTATATGTTTGAGGCCTTCCCAAAGTCCAAACGATGTGGAGCAGCAGATACTAACCATATGACATATTCATATTTCATAAATATATTGTGATATCATAAAGCTACATGCCCCCTATCCCAACTCACCGTTACAAATATCCCACGCAGGAAAAAAACAGGAAGTGGACTGTGAAGAACGCTTACACCAAACCATTCAAGACTGGAAAGGGTTTAAACGGCCACTTCAC